AGAAGAGGAGGAAAATGTTATAAAGGTGAAAAGATACTTTTGGTAAGGAGAGTTATAAAGAAAGAGATTTTATGTAAGAAAGGATCTTGTGTTGTAAATTCTTGTTGTAAAGCAAAATGACTAATTGTCAAGAAAGAGGGATGTTGACTAAGCACAGTGGCTCATGCCTGTAATCCCAGCACTTTGGGAGGCCAAGGCAGGTGGATCACCTGAGGTCAGGAGTCCGAGACCAGCCTGGCCAACAAGGTTTCACTGTCACTGCTAAAAATACAAAAAATTAGCTGGGCATGGTGGCAGGTGCCTGAAATCTCAGCTTCTTGAGAGGCTGAGGCAGAGAATTGCTTGAACTTGAATGTGGAAGGCAGAGATTGTGGTGAGCCAAGATCACACCACTGCACTCCAGCCTGGGCAACAAAAGCAAAACTCCATCTCAAAAAAGAAAAAGAAAAGAAAAATATTTAGGAGAAGTCATAAAGTCTAAGCATGTCATAGATGGTGTAAGTCATGAGAAAATTAATGAAAGAAATTTATAAAAAGAATGTTGTATGTAACTAAGGTATAATAGTCCAAAATTGGTTCCCTATGCTGTGTCTATTTAAATTCAAATGCCTTTCATCAAGAAACTTCCAGGTTATCTAAAAGGGCTTTCAATAAGGAAAAACAGTCAGACTGCAAAAGATGTTTCTTCACCTTTTCAGTAACTGGCTTAAGAAACAAAATTTTATCTTCTGGAATTCAGCAGTTTCACCTTCAAATGATGTTGTGAATGGGATATCAGTCTCTCCCTAATGATGGCTGCTACCTTTACAAGTCTCCCCTGAATTCAACTGGATACCAGTTTTGCCTTGACATGCTCCCTCCTCTGATGAGACCCTTCCTCCAGCAAAATCTAATCCCACAGTCCAGGACAATGATCCGCAGGGTCCCTTAACAGATCAACAATTCCAGGTAGGGAGAACTCTATGCCCCTGGTCAGCAGGAAGCAGTTGGAAGATGAGACCTCTGCCCAATGCCAAAGATTTGTCATTGTTGTTCTGTCAGGGGTGGAATGCAGCGTCCTGATAAGTAAGCAACAATGAGGGAGGGTCCCCAAGTTGGCGAGGGCCCCAGGTGGGGAAGAACAATGAACAACTGTTCTGAGAGACAGCTAATCAAACAACCCAAAGCCACAATGACCTCTGTGGGCACAGTGACCTCATTCCACAGGTGGCCCCCTCTAGCAAAACCCTATAAAACTTCTCTCTAGTCTCTGCCTCTTTGTAGACAGCCCTTTCCTGTTGTGATGCCCATGGCAACCTTGCAACATATTTTCATACCTTCTCTAATAAATCTCCCTTTCTTTGCTTACGACTTTCTTGGTAAGTACCCTTACCTCCCATGACAGCAGCCCTGGCTAGTCACTATCCAAGACAATATGGAGGTCCCTCAAAAAAACTACAAATAGAACTACCATATGACCTAGCAATCCCACCACTGGACATTTATCCAAAGAAAAGGAAATCGGTATATTGAAGAGACCTCTACACTCCCATGTTTACTGCAGCACTATTACAATAGCCAAGATACAGAATCAATCTAGGTGTCCAACAATAAATAAATGGGTAAAGAAAATGTGATATATGTACACAGCGAAATATTATTTTGGCATTAAAAAGAATAAAATCCTGTGATTCACAGTAACATAAACAGAACTGGGAGACATTCTGTTAAGTTAGATAAGCCAGGAACAGAAACTTAAACACTGAGTGGTCTTTACTCATATGTGGAAGCGAAAAATGTTGATCTCAGAAGTAAAAAGTAGAACAGAGGATACTAGAGGGGAAGGGACATAGGGAGAGATTTATTAAAGGAATAAAATTACAGCTAGATAGGAAGAAGAAGTTGTAGTGTCCTATACCACATTAAGATGGTTATGGTTAACAATGATGCATAGTTTCAAATAGCTAGAGGGAGGATATTGAGTGTTCCTAACATAAATAAATGAAAAAATCTTTGAGGCAATGATATGCTAATTAGCCTTATCTGATCACTATACATTGTATGTATTAAAACATCCCTGTGCACTCCATAAATATGTGTGATTATTATGTGTCAATTTTTAAAAGTTACTAAACAATGTAGGGGAATTGTTCTCCTTGGCAGTTACTACAGAAAAAAACAATCTTTAGAAAAGTGACAAGCCACGTAAGATGTGAATGTTACCTCCCAAAATTACAATATCATGAGACAAAATAAGGGAGAGTTGCTGTCTCTCAGTCAGTGTTTGTCCCTAGTAAGGACAACTAACCGCTGAGCAAACGAGCAACTGCACAGCCTTGCCTTACTCAAAGAGTGTTGTCCACCTGCAATGCCAAGTCCCCTCAATCTGTCTGCGCACTGCTGTGCAACTGTGGGCTCTCAGACGTTTTTAGGTATACAAGTCCATGTAACCACTCTAAACCATGCCTCTTAAAATATGCCTTCATTTTTCCTTCTTAAGCCACTAAATACAGACTGGTAGGTTACGTGGCTTCTGTAACATCGTCCAGGTCACATCAGTTAACCTTCTACACGAATGGGACCCTGGAAGTCCTTACTCCTGCTCCCTTCTTCAGACTGGGTTATACTTAAACCTTCATACATCAGCCTTTCCCAAGGTCAGGGCTGTGCTGAGGGTATAATAAGCATGGCCAGTAGCCTAGCTCTCTTGGGAGGTTTAAGTCTCGGGCTCCTAAAGGTTAAATATTGGCTTGCCTATAATGGGGAGAAGAGAAACAGTGGTATAACTATGTGAAATGATGGCTATATTAATCTGCTTCACCATAGTAAACTTTTTACTATCTACATGTATCTACAGCATTATGTTGTATATCTTAAATACACATAATAAAATTTGTTTTAAAATAAAATTTAAAACTCTCTTCTAAAAATAAAAACAGTGAAGGAAGAGCTCTGCCATGAGCTCAAGGCCAGCCAGTCACAGCTCTACCAAAACCTATAGATGACTTAAAAGCTGAAGCCTTAGCATCATCATTGTCATATACTCATTATGAGCAAACTTTTTGCTCCTCTTTTTGCTGAGTAGATTCACCTAAGTTACTCTACACGACAGTAACTGAAACAGCACCCACTAGACTACTCTATGACATCCCCTGCAGAGATCAAGAGCTCTGCAATTCACAGTCCTGAGAGACTGCCAATTCAACCAGCCTTCAGAACTGGCACACTTCCGAATGAGAAAAGTTCAAATAATGGCTTAAGAAATTCAAACCAACTGCTTACCCAAGATGAAGAGCACTCAGGAGAAGCAATGCACTGAAATCTTCCCACAGCTGCAGTTCCCAAGCGCAACTGAAAGACTTCTGTGAGCACTCTAGGTTAGGCTCAGAGCAAACCAAACACGTGCCTTCTGAAGTGGCTGCAGAGATGCAAACAGGAACTCTAAATTAAGTTTCTCGTTTCAGTCATCTAGCCCATTACCCAATTTTTATGTATACTTTCATTCTAAAAGGAGGCAACAAATTCAACATCCTGAGGTGAACCTTACACTCAGACCTCTTTAGCTGCCGTCCCTTCTTTTAGATGACAAGGTGCCATCTCCTACCTCTGAGGGTAGGAACTTGAATGGCACCAGGCATTTAATAGGTGCTGAGAAAGAAATCCGTTTCATGAAAACAAAATACAATAAATTTAATATTAACAAAAAATATTCTGTGTTTAAGATACAGCAACCTCTTCTATTTTTGCTCTCAAAACAGAGGTGTAACCTTGCCAGGCAATCACCCAACCCCTGCTTCCAAAGATATGCCTGTCCAGTCCTCCAGCTCACCACCTACACATGGTAGTTTCTTCTGGTCATGTGATATCAGCTTTTCCAGAATACAGGAAGCAATTTATTCACACAGAGAACCTGTTAGGTGACTTGGACATCCTAGATAAGAACTCAAGGCTTCTTCACTTCAAGATACCTCTCAGTCACCACTTCAAAATAGGTGTTTTCAATGTACACATCTTCAATCTTGACCTAGGCATGGGCAGACTCATCTTATGGAACTTGTCCTGTATCATCTGAAAAGCTGTTGAATGTTTGCTCCCAAGTACTATGCTACGTGGTCCTTGAGAACTGATGTGCTGGACAGCCAGCAATCTCCACGGCATAAATATCCCCATCATGGCCTATTTCAAGCTACCAACTGGCTTGCAAAATTCCTAAAAATTTAATATGGGTGGAGTATCCCTTATCCAACATGCTTGGGAGAAGAAGTGTTTCAGATTTCATATTTTTTTCAGGTTTTAGAATATTTGCCAAAAATATACCAGTTGAACATCCCTAATCTGAAAATTCAAAATCCTCCAATAACCATTTCTTTGGAGCATCGTGTTGGCACTAAAAGTTTCAGATTTTGGAGTATTTCAGGTTTTGTATTTTCAGATTAGGGATACTCAGCCTGTAATCAGCTCTTGCTATGTGAGCTGGTTCCAGCACACCACGGAATCTCTGCAGGTTCTTGCTGGGGTACAGCCCAGACATAAGAGTGGTTACATGATGCTGGAAACCACTGTTAAATCAGGCTTAGCCTAAAGCTGCCTCCTTACATATTTTAAGTTTGGCCTAAAGGTTTTTCTGTACATTATGAACTGTAAACTAAATGGAATAGCATACAGACTGTAGTCTACTCTTGCGTCAATCATGGAGTTTGGCCAATCGAAGACAGCCAATGGTTCAAACGGTTCAAATAAGGCAAACACCGAGCTGTAACCAATCCGGCTATTTCTGTGTCTCACTTCTGTTTTCCATACATCACTTTCCTTTTTTCTGTCCATAAATCTCCTACCACATGGCTGCGCTGGAGTCTCTGAGCCTACTGTGGCTCAGGGGACTGCCCGATTCATAAATCATTCTGTGCTCAATTAAACTCTTTTAAATTTAATTCAGTTCAAGTTTCTCTTAACACCACAAACCCCTGTCTCTTTCACATGACAACTCCCACCTTATATGTAGATATCCACACACAAAAAGGTAGCCAAAGGATGCAAAGAAGTTTATTAACTATGATGCAGTAAAGATACCAAGAGTTACAATATCTGTGCATATGCCCCAACAGTGCCTACTCTCCTACAAAAAAACAAAAACAAAAAGGCAATGAGGTGCGGCAGTTAACAGCCCAACACTGGAGTCACAGGAATGGAGCTGCTTCTTCTGGCAGCGAAGTTTCAAGTTGTGCAATTAAATAATAGTCTTGGCCCACTCCTTATGGTCTTCTTACAGTTTCCCTTTAGAACCATAACTGAGTGACTTAGTAGAACGTTCATATTCAGGATGTGGCCTCCAGAAGGGTCATTTTGTTTTGTTCCGTTTTGTTTTTAACAAAGACATGCTACCTTCTCTCCTGAAGCACCAGTGCTGAGTTCAGGAGCTGCAGAGGACTAAGATGTTCTCCAAGTAGCCTGAAGTAGCAGGTCACATGGAAAACACAAAGCAATTGACAAGTTCACATTTTGTAATAGAATTAAGAGCTTAATGCATAAAACTCCAGATAATGTAACCACGAGTAAAAACTTCAGCAGCTAAAGAAAAATTCTGAAAGATTTCTAATCCCTTCTGAACTAAGTTCCCTTTCTAAAAGAAGCTGGTTTCCAGGGGTATGATAAGAGCCCGTGGAGTAGCAAAGAGAGCGAATAGCACCTTAGAAGTTATTCAACAACAGGTGAAACAAACAAGTAAACAGTAAACCACTTTATCTTCCTTTCATCCTTAAAGAAGACAGGTGTCTGTACACTGCTTTGGGACCCTTTGAAGAATAAAAGGCTGTAACTCAAATCTCAAAATAAGGGATAAAGAAGGAAAATGATAGCAGCCAATGACTGGGATGTGACTACAAACCCATGAAGTCAACTAAATTAAGTAAACTAAATTGTCAACATACTCACTTACCACGAAGGACTCTATTGTTCAGTCATTTAAAAAGGAAGGGACTAGTTCAAGTCATGATTAAGGCTACAAAATAACATGACTGAGTATTCATAGAGCACCAACTACCTCAAGTTTAGACTAGGTGTCAGTCTACAAACACACTACCCTGCAGTGATCTTCACAACACACCTGCAAGGGCTTTACAAGAAGGCCCAGCCAAAACTGGTTCCTCATTTAATGGGATGCGGCTTTCAGTGAGTTCCTGTGACATTATCTCTTTCTCGGAGAAATGAGGACACACAAGAAAGTTCCCCTTACAATTAGATCTCTATCTTCAAATCTCTGAGAGATTTGAATTATTTATTCTCATTGCTCCAGTTGCTTTCCTCTCACTGTTGAGGTGTCAGAAATGGTCACATTAGATTGGCCTGTGACAACCACATAAGTTAACAAGCAGCCCAAAGTACTGTGAGGTTTAACCACTGGAAATGTCAACGGCTGGTCCTGTCTTCGCCTCTCCTACTTCCTCGCGTGACCAAAGTCAAATCACAATATCCTCCAACTAAACGGATTTGCTAATCTGTGGACCAGATTAATAGTAGAAACCAGGCCAAATCTAAGAGACAGATCTAACAACCCACGTTTTAAATTAGATCTTGGCAAAAAAAAAAGAGAGAGAGATTGAGAGAGAAAAGTGGTTTTTAAACTAACATATACACTCTAAAATGCTGTAATATGGAAACTTCCTGAACCACCTAATGAAAACCATGAAAAGGGATCAACCTGTTCAAAGAATAGAGACCAGCGAGGGGATAATTTTTGTCTCCCGTAATTGAGAAGTGAACCCGATCACTATTACAGAGGACTATTTATATATGCACTGTCCATCTTTACTGATATGCTATCCATATGCCTTAATGGCTTATAAAAAGTCCCATGTAAATTAAACTTTGAAATGAGCTGTTATAGCAGAATGGAGTAAGCTGTTATAAGGCACCGAGAGAACAGAAAGGAGAACTACGCTATACACAATCTCACTTCCTCATCTCAAATATTATGTAAAAACAGCTTGCAAGTACTCATAGTTTACTCAGAGTTGGCACATTTTAGAAATCAACAAAGTTTTGAAAAACAATACAAGTGAAACATGTTGTAATTGCAAAGAACTCCTAAAATACTCTATAAGCCCCTACTAAAAACCTGTAAAGAATTTTTCTTGCCTCTGACTTGAAAAGTCAAGAAGAAAAGTAGTAGCTATAAAAGACTCCTTGGCCCAAATTGTACCAGCAAGACTAAAGAAAATAATTATTCTACCTCGCTATTCCCTTCCTTAATTGTAAATTGATGACATTGTATTTAATACTTTAAAAACCCAGTCAAAGCAAACCAATGATTTGATCCTGGCAACTTTAAGGAAACTAAGAGTATACACTCTAAGTTATCCAAAAACAACTGAGGTTGAGGTCATTAAAACAATGAGTATATGCCCTATACTACTCACAGCTGACAGTGTACATGGAGCAAAAATCAAAGAATACCATCCCAAGCAAATATTTTGTCTGGTGACAAATCAGGAAGCCACAAGCTCCACTTCATTTAGAAAGTGGTTTTGGCGTCAGCGGTGTGGCATACATGCAGGCTTCTCCTTCGAACAGCTGGAGGAAAACGTAATACATTCCAGAGCAAAGATGAACCATAAAGTATCTTTTTGATTAGGAAAAGAATTTCTTCATTCAATTACAGCATAATTTCTTGAAAGGGGAAGTCATGAGTCTCTTATGAGAGTTCTTGAACAGTTTATAAATACAACAAAACATTTATTCAATAAATAAGCGGTTCCTAAAGTCTTTACTGATGATCTCCAGGATTGTCCACCACTGTGGTCCAGGCCAGCTCCACTTCTCTGACAGGCCGTAGCTGCCAGTGGAATGGGATGTTTCCTGTTATTAGGTGACTCTTCTTATGACATGCAGACTTTCATCAATATGTCTCTTCATAGTCTGAATCCTGGAGGGAGAAAATCAGTAGATGTGAAACACAATTCCACAATCGGAATTTAGGCAAAGACCAAATGGAACCTGGCTTGGGAAACAATCACAGTGAAATGCCACTGACTGAATACACCTAAGTTCCCATGGAGTTTCACAGGACCTCAATATAATTGGTGTCTATGGGGCTAATTTCTGCTCTGAAGCCCTAGTGGTTTCCTTTCCCTTGGTGAATATTTTTTAAAACCTCCACACACAGGCACATTTTCTTAACACTACAAGCATCAGTGGAATCACCCCAGCAATCCTTTCCTCACTCTCTTGCAGAAATGTGCAAATCTGTGGTTAGGAGTTTAGACTAGGTATCAATCTACCACTGAGTTCACCTCTTGCTGGCTGTGTGACCTTGGATAAAGTTATCAACTTCTCTAAGCCTCAGTTTCCTCATCTGTAAAATGGGATAATAAAAATACACCTCATAGAACTGTTACGAGAATTGAATGAGATAATATATGTAAATTACTTAGCACTGTGCCTGGCACTTTGTAAGCACTCATTCAAGACTAGCTCCTGCTACCATTATTATTGTCCAAACTCATGTTCATTACTTCTGACTTCAAGTGGGCCATTAGTATTATCTGGCATACCACATTTCTCTGGTCTATTCATTCTCCTTCATGACTATTTCATACCCTTCCCTCTTTCCCCAAACTTCCAACACCTCCTCTTCCCATCATTCTCAGCTGACAGGCCTGCTTTCTCCCATCATTGGGAAGAAGCAGTCAGTAGGGAATTTCCATAAGCTCCATCATATGTGGCCACTCATCTGCATCCTGACCCATCTATGTGGCCTTCCCTATTGTTCTTATGCACTCTCCCTGCCTTTATCTAAGGTCAACATCTCCATGTATGCACCAGATCCTAGCATTACCCCAACAATCCTCTCCTCTCTCTCTTGCAGCACCAATTTTTCCTTCTCTACTACACAATTCCCATCTGCATACAAACGTGTTCAATTTCTCCCATCTTAAAAAGAAAAGCCACCCATGACAACACCCTCTATGTAATGCCTGTCTCTCTGCGTTCCTTCACAGTAAAATTCCTTGGAAGAGTTCTTTATACCCACTGTCTCCAATGTATTTGTCTGCAATCGTTCTTGACCCCACCCCAGACAGGTTTTCCTTCCCACCATTCCACTGAAGCTCCTTTTGCCGAGGTCACCAATGACCTCCATATTCCCAAATCATCCAATAATCAATTATCAGCTCTTATTTTACTTCACCTGACTCCACAGCAAATGACACAGTTAATCACTCTCTTTTCCTAGAAACACTTCTTCACTTGACTCCCAGGATACCAAAATCTCTTTACTAATAATTCCTCTTCATCACCCCATCCAAGAAATCTTGGAGGGCTCCAGGCTCTGTCCTTTGACCCTTCCCTATCTACACTCATTTCCCTGGAGGAAACGTCTCTATCACTCACTGTCTGCTAATGGCTCCTAAATCTATATTTCTTGTCTAAACCTCTCTTTTGAACTCCACACCCACAACTGCCTACTCCACATCTCCACTTAGAAGTTTAATAAGTATTTCAAACTTAATATGTCCAAACCCAGCTTCCGATCTTCCTCCTAAAATCTGATTCACCCACAGACTTCCACATATTAGCAAATGGTAACTCTATTCTACCAGTTGCTTAAGTCAAGAATCTTGGAATTATCCTTGAGTCCCCTCATTTTTTCATACATAAATGTAAAAGCAGTAAATCCTTCTGGCTTTACCTTCAAACTATAATCAAAATACAACCACTTCTCACCTCTTCCACCACCATCACCCTGGTCCAAACTACCAGCATCTTCAGCTATCTGGATTAATGCAAATGCCTTCTAACTGGACTCTCTGATTCTGTCATTGTTCCTTACCAACCACTCTCAAGACAAAAACCAGAGTCATATTTTTTAAACAGACATCAGTTGAGAGTGCTTCTCTTCCCGAACCCTCCAATGGATTCCACTTCACTGAGTAGAAGTCCAGGTCATTACAATCATCTATAAAGTTCTGTAAGATCTAGCTGCTGCATTACTTCTCTGATGTCAAGAACTACTATTCTTTGCCTTGCTGTCTTCATTCCTGCCATACTGCCCCCTTGCTACTCAAAGAACACGCCAATCATGGCCCCTCTTCAGAGCCTTTGCACCTGTCATTTCTTCTGCCTGAAATGCTCCCTGGCAACAGCCATATGGCTTGCTTCTCTTAGGTGTTTGCTTGAATATCTTCTCACTGAGGTTGTCCCTAACCTATTTAACATCATACCCCTATCCAGCCATCCCATCCCCCTTTTCTGCTTTTTTTCTTCATATACTGTATATATACCATCTCATCTACGATATATTTTACTTATTTTTTAAAACTTTGTGAGTATTTGTACCCTAATTCAAGAGGTGACATTTCAGCAGAGTTTTAGAGGATAAGAAAGAGTTTTCCAGGCAGAGAACATTCGGTTCTCTGAGGGCAGGAATTTTTGTCAGTTTTGTTCCCGGCCATTTCCTAAGCACCTAGAACAGCACACATGGCACGTGACAGATGTTCAACAAATCACTGTTGAATGGATTAAGGTCTGAAATGTGGATAATAATTGCATGAATTTTAACTTATTTTGTGTTCTCAAAGTTAAGGACCTAATACCAACCTTGGAGGCTGGTGTTAGATTCCATTTTATCTAATACCTGGCATTACCGACCTTTCTCTCATCTCTCCTACAATACTCAAGTGCATGAGAGAAAGAGAAACAGAAAACACTGCAATCAATCATGGAGCCAAGTCTGAACTTAGCAAGAAGTACACAGGTGGCAATGACAGGTATGTATCATATGAGATCAGAAGTTCCTTGTGATCTGGTTTCAACTGCACCACATCAGACAGTCTTCCCTCCCGCTAGGATCCTAGGACAGACACTCGAGCCTCCTAATTGGAATATCTGATCCTGTCATCAGTCACACCAAGTACCCAAAGCAGGAGCGATGACAACCTTTTGACATTCAAATCAAAACTTGGACTTTCCAGTGTGATATTTCTTACTGATAAAAGACATCAAGTTACCTAAAAGGTTATATCACTCTAACTCCCTGAAAAATACTACGGCTCAGTGGAAAAGTTAAATTCAGGGTCAGGTCCAGCAAGTCAGTCTCCTAGTATGAATTCAGTGGCATAGGACACTCCTGTTTTGGGATTTTCTGTCAGTCTGCAGAAACTACTCTACACGGCCCCCTTTCCCTAACCTAAGACTACCACTCTATGCCCATGAGACAGGAAACAAAATCATGGTTAGAATTGGTAGGGGTCCCCTGATTCCAAAATGCTTTGAGGGAAGATGCTGGCTCATACCTTGCTTGGACCTATCTGCATATCCTCTGCTGCCTCTGAAGGCATAGGATGGATCCTCTTAGATAAGCAGGAAAGTGAGACATCAACAGTGAGCAGAAGGAACAGCATGCACTTACCAGGCACTCAGCGCAACGGACGCAAAGCCTCGCCATGCACGCATCTTCCTCCTCCTGATCAGTGCTGTAGAAAGAGGACAAACCAAATCTGAATCACCACTATCCTCAACAGCACAGAGCAGTTAATAGTACAGGTGTTGAAATTAGACAGGTCTGGTTTTAGATTCCAGTTCTTCCACTCACTAGCTGGGTGACTGGGCAAACTGTTTAAGCCCAAGAAGCCTGTTTCCTCATCTATAAAATCCACATATTGGCCAGGCACAGTGGCTCATGCCTGTAATCCCAGCACTCTGGGAAACTGAGGTGGGTGGATCACCTGAAGTCAGGAGTTCAAGACCAGCTCGGCCAACATAACGAAACTCTGTCTCTACTAAGCACACAAAAATTAGCTGGGCGTTGTGGTGCACACCTGTAATCCCAGTTACTCAGGAGGCTAAGGCAGGGAATCGTTTGAACCCAGAAGGCAGAGGTTGCAGTGATCTGAGATTGCACCACTGCATTCCAGCCTAGGCAATACAGTGAGACTCCCATCTCGAAAAACAAACAAACAAACAAAATGCACATATTGCCACCCACCCTTAAAGCATAGTTCTGAGGCATAAATAAAAAATAAATGTGAAACATGTACCATAGTGCCTGGCACATAATAAGTGCTCAATAAATAGGAGCTAGTCATAAACACTCATTCAGAAGTGTACTGAGCACTGACAATGTCTGAGCATCGTGCTGGCCTAGAGGTAAAAAGATAAATAAAACTTGGGCCTGTGAAGAGCTCATGATGGGGGTGATAGACCAGTTAAAACTTAACAAATATGTTATAATGCCATGTGATAAGTGTTTTAATAGAGTTAAGGTCAAACTGCTGCAGCAGCGAAGAGTGGGGAGTGACTAATTGTCCTCTAAGGACTCAGGGAAACTCAAGAGAAGGGGCTATTTCAGCTGGGTCTTGGAGGATAAGAAAGAGTTTCCAAGCAAACAAGAGAAGGAAGGAGGGCATTCCAAGCAAGACAAAAGTGGGGGTCTTAGAGGATGAGAGAGAGGAAAAATATTTGAATTAAGTATAATATGTTAGGGCAAAAAAAAAAAAAAAAAAAAAAGAAAGGTGGAAGTATACTTAACGAAAATAACTTAC